CTTCCATGCTAACTTTATCCTGAGAAATATCTGTCATCTCAAATTTTGCTAGGCAAGAAAGCCATGCAGATTTCCATGGAAAATCTCTAGATATCACAAAAAAAAAAGATTGACTGAATATGGACATTTTATACTCTAGGTTTGTTCTACTTATAAGTAACCCTCATTAACAAACTGTCATTGATTTACGTGGGTATAACGAAAATATGGAGTAGGCTATCAATAGCTAGATATAAATAAGTAATTGGAGAGAAACTAGGAAGCATGCAAAACTTAACTATTTCCAGTTTTTGTTATAAAACTTAATAATATTAACTGCCTATAAGTGTTAATAATGCAAATACATAGACTCCAAGGGAACAGAGAACCACACTTAAGAAGTGTGCATTACACAGACAATCCCAGGTGCAGCTATTAATTGCTTCAAGTACCATTCCAGTTATCCCACCTTCAATACCTTCCAAGAAAATTTCAGCTTTTGCCATCCTTCTTCATAATATTCAAACTTCCATTATTATTCCTTGCGCTATTTCATTCTTCCTATTTTTGCTATTTTCATCCTTGCGCTATTGCCCTTCAGTTCTGTTTCACCAGTAGCAGAAAATATTATATAATCTCTACTGCTTTTAACAATAGGCATATTGAATACAATATTAAGTTAGAGATGATGTTCTAAGTAGAACAAGTCACCATATATTGTTTTCCATCGATATACAGAAGCGGTTTACAGGCATGTTCTCATGAGAGTTATAGGAAGACGCCAAGACCTAAAAGATTCAGATCAGTTTTGACAAATTCTAGGTAAAAGAATGCAAGAACATGTGATTATGAAGCCTCAAATATGAACTCTCTAAACAAAACCTCCAGAAATGTACATCATTATAATGTTTCATTTTAGTATGCTCTTGTGTTTTTTATACAACTGAGACTGGGTAAGAAGTATTAAAATCCTGGTAGAAAATCTTGCCACATTTCCATCCTAGTGTTAGAAATCCCAGATAAATTTCAGAAAAGGAGTCAGATAAAATGACTTCACTGTTTGGAAAGTTAAGTTTGCCTAGTGCTTTCACTGTGCTTCTACAAAACAAAATATCCCTTTGCTTTTGAACTGTCCAGAATATATTAAATTCACCCATTCCCATTCTTCAGAACTGCTTCTTCCAAGGTGAATGGGAAAAAAATTAAGTACATAAACTCATGGTGGGTGTCCAGATGAGCGTGGCTATGTGGCACCACATAGTCAGGTGTTCTTCGCACTGTGAGGACACACTGCCCATGCGTGCACTGGTCTAGGTTTTTTTTACCCCTGCAAATCCAAGGGTCAAAAAAACCCCAAACAAACAAACAAAAAGAACCACAGGAAAAAAAATTGAAGTACTTCACACATGGGCAGCATGTGCCACTGAGGAGTGGAGCCAGACCACCTGAAGTCTCACTGCAGCTGCTAGGCCGCTCTGCCAGGCATGATCAACACAGCTGCAGCCCTGATGAGACCCCAGGTAAGGCTGCTGGGGCCAGCACAGTCCCTACCACCCCCAGGGTACCTTGCTGCATGCCAAAGTATACATGGCATGGGCATTCCCCGGGGAGAAGTAGCTGTGGCACCACATGTGCTACTGTTACTTGTCCCTGGGAAACCAAATGTCTCTGTTCATCTGACTGCATGGCAGCATCCAGACATCAGATTTAAGGTTGCATTCAGAACCATAGCTCAGCTCCCTTGTGAATATACATTTGTTAGCAGCTGGTAATTACATGATCACATTCTAATTTTTTTCACAATGCACCTCCCCTCCATTTAGTTCTATGGATGAACAACCTTAGTTATTGGCTAGATTGCCTTAATTACTGTGCACAACAGTTGACTAGAAATAAAGACTCCCTATTTCTTTGGAAATTCTAAAACTTAAAAGAAAAAAAAAATACCCTCAGGAAAAAGAATGAAATTATAGAAGTTCACTGGGAACCACACTTCAACCTTTTCAAAATGTTTCCAAGGACTTTTAAGATGCCCCTGAGACTTCTTATCCCAGCAGATAAAGGGGGCCACATAGCTCACAGAAGATGGAGGCCTGAAACATGGGGCAGTCCACCTGATGGTGTCTGAAGACCTGGAGATCCTGGAAGCCTTGGTATCCTGAACTCTGAGAGAGCCTACATCATATGCTGACCTGTAGGCCAAGGTCCCTGGGATTAGGGTGTGAGGAAATTCCCCTCTCTCTGCCCCTAGTTTGGATCATTTCAGGGAGACCCTTCTCTCCCACTTGCTTTCTTTTTGGTTCAGGCTGGTCAACCAGGTGACCCGGCTGGATAAGTTCTTGAGGGGAGGAGGGAGCTGTCTCTTCTTCCAGTGAGCATTTTGAAAAGCTACAGTAAGGTGCTTCCAGGTGGTTGCCTGGATGATTTTCTGTAAGTAAAGACATGAAAATTAGCCAGGAGTTAGGATTCATGTCTAGACCAGGCACGTTTTAAAAGAATTAATATGTTCAAGACTGTCTAAGACTCTGATTGATTATGTTTGCTCAAAGTGTATTCTGACTTCCTTGTCCTTCCCCCACCCCCAATCAATAAAGGCACTGAGTTACTGTATTACTGTGGAGTGGGGGCAGAAAACCCAGAAGTATTACCAGTGAGGCAATGGAACCCCAAGGTTCACAGAGTCTGCAGCCCTGGGCTGCACAGAGCCCTAACAGAAATCAGTGCCCGGGTGGTGGCTGCATGAACCCAGGAAGTGGGACAACCGGCTGCAGGCACCCCATGGGAGACTCCTGAAGTGAGGTTTTTGGGACTAGCAGAGTGAGAAGGGTAGCTTTGCATAGTAGCACCATCTACTGTGCCACCACATGTGTTGGTAGATGTGGGATCCCTCAGAGTGCTGTCTGGAAGGCATATCCTGGGGAAGCATAGTCACTGAAAACCTTTGAGCAAATGAGTCTTTGATTTGGCATTGAGTCAGGGTTTAGCCAAAATGACCAAAAATTGTGTCAATATGACTGTGGAGAAATTGGTGGAGAAAGACTAAGATGGGCCTCCCAGTCCCAGCAGGGCAAAAGAAAAAGGACCTGATTAAGTCCCTGCAGGACAATGATCGAGCCAAGGGACCATCTGCTCCAGTTCTGGGAGAGAGTGGAGCCAAAGAAGTCCCTTCCAGTGGGCTTCAGGGAGGAAGCCCCATGAAGCTAGAACTGCTCAAGGAGTGGACTGGCCTCCAGGCCCTAGAACTGAAAGGTAAGCAACGCAAGTTAGCATTGGACTTGTAAATCAAGCAATGTGAGTGCAAGTTTGAGGCTGAGCAACAGGAGGCATAGCACAAGCATGAACTCAGGAATTGTTGCTGAGTAATTTTGAAAAACAAGTGCTCCGATGGAAATTGGAAAAATAGGAGTTCCTGAGATACATTGCTGGACTGGTAACAAGTGACATGGTTGCTATGCTGGACAGCCTGCCCACTGGGTCTAAGAATAACTATGATGCCTTTAAAGAGGCTTTGCATAAGAGGTATAGGTTGGGGCCAGATCATTTCAGGAAGAAGTTCTGCGAAGCTGCCCCACAGCAGGGAAAGTCTATGATCAAGTTTGTGGCCCAATTGTGGGAATCATTCCAAAAATGGGTAGAGGGAGCCAAAGCTGGCACCAGAGAGAAGGTGCTAGACCAATTTGATTTTAGATGCCTGTGGCAGGGAACCCTAACCCTGTCATGAGGAAAAAGGTGTGCCCCTATATGGCCAGAACCTTCTGGGCGCAGAGGGCTGGTGAGGAAGGGGTTAACTGCTGAACTGGGAGAGGGTCAGCTGACCAGAAGAGGCAGGCCTATAAAAACCCTGGGTTGAATGACAGTAAGGGGGCTAGCAGCCAAGGGGGGAAGGAGTGCATCTCAGAGCTCCTGGGAGAGGCTTGGTGAGAAATCCAAAGCCAGGAAGAGACGAGCTATAGAAGCCCTGAAGAGACAACAGCCGCACTGCAAGGATGAGCTGATGGTGGTGAACTGAAATATGAACCCTGGAACTGTAAGCTGACATACCGCTTTCATTACTCACCTTGTTGGGTGGCAGATATTGCTCATGAACGGGACTGTTTATTTGTGTTCTTTGGGTTATGGAATGAAACTGGAGGTTTGGGTGAGGCTGTTAGGGGATGGAGGAGTCCTCATTTTTGGAACCCACTCCAGAGTGAGATCCCCAGTGCCAGTGAGGGCACAGCTTTTTTGGGGGCACAGACCCTGGTGCCAGTGAGGCACAGAGCTGCGGAGAGCCCTAGTGCCAGTAAGGGCACAATTTTGGGATGATCTTAAAAAGGCCAGGGAGGCCTGGAGCACCTGGGGGGTGCAAGTATATATTTTTATTATTATTTGGACAGGTGAGGTCACATCCAGGTTTTGAACTTGTGACCCCCTCACTGTGGGGCTGGCACATGTGCCTCAGGGCTGGGGAGTGCTGTGCTTCAGAAAGGAGCAGAAAAGGGGGCCAAGAGTGTCCAGGCACTAGAAGGAAGAGCTAGAGTCTCAGAGTCGAACCCTGTTTGGTGGGTTTGGATGGAGAAGCCTAGCTAGAGAAAAAAGGGGTCAGACCATCCTAGGAGAGACCCCAGCATACCCAATATAAATCAGCAGTCTCCCCCTCGCATACTAATTTCCATCAAGATGTGGCAGGTGAGATTAGGGCGGGACAGCAGAGTTCCAAGAGGACTCCAAGGGCATCCCACGTAAGGTGCAGATGACCTGGAAGATGGTGCTGGGGAGGGCGACCTGTTACAATGCCCTCAGGAGATTAAACACCTAGTCAAGGATAAGGAGCCCAAATCAGCCAGTAAGGCTGCTGACTTTGCTGATCAGCTGTTGCTAAACATCAGGAGGGGCTGGACAGAAGGCTTCCCCACTTTGGGAAGGACCAGAAATTATTCCAAAAAGCAGGGAAGGGAGGGCCAGTCCTGAAATGGGAGTTTGCTGCCCCCCCCCCCCCCCGGCCTCACGCGACTAGCGCGGGGGCTCTCCCACTTGCTTTCTTTTTGGTTCAGGCTGGTCAACCAGGTGACCCGGCTGGATAAGTTCTTGAGGGGAGGAGGGAGCTGTCTCTTCTTCCAGTGAGCATTTTGAAAAGCTACAGTAAGGTGCTTCCAGGTGGTTGCCTGGATGATTTTCTGTAAGTAAAGACATGAAAATTAGCCAGGAGTTAGGATTCATGTCTAGACCAGGCACGTTTTAAAAGAATTAATATGTTCAAGACTGTCTAAGACTCTGATTGATTATGTTTGCTCAAAGTGTATTCTGACTTCCTTGTCCTTCCCCCACCCCCAATCAATAAAGGCACTGAGTTACTGTATTACTGTGGAGTGGGGGCAGAAAACCCAGAAGTATTACCAGTGAGGCAATGGAACCCCAAGGTTCACAGAGTCTGCAGCCCTGGGCTGCACAGAGCCCTAACAGAAATCAGTGCCCGGGTGGTGGCTGCATGAACCCAGGAAGTGGGACAACCGGCTGCAGGCACCCCATGGGAGACTCCTGAAGTGAGGTTTTTGGGACTAGCAGAGTGAGAAGGGTAGCTTTGCATAGTAGCACCATCTACTGTGCCACCACATGTGTTGGTAGATGTGGGATCCCTCAGAGTGCTGTCTGGAAGGCATATCCTGGGGAAGCATAGTCACTGAAAACCTTTGAGCAAATGAGTCTTTGATTTGGCATTGAGTCAGGGTTTAGCCAAAATGACCAAAAATTGTGTCAATATGACTGTGGAGAAATTGGTGGAGAAAGACTAAGATGGGCCTCCCAGTCCCAGCAGGGCAAAAGAAAAAGGACCTGATTAAGTCCCTGCAGGACAATGATCGAGCCAAGGGACCATCTGCTCCAGTTCTGGGAGAGAGTGGAGCCAAAGAAGTCCCTTCCAGTGGGCTTCAGGGAGGAAGCCCCATGAAGCTAGAACTGCTCAAGGAGTGGACTGGCCTCCAGGCCCTAGAACTGAAAGGTAAGCAACGCAAGTTAGCATTGGACTTGTAAATCAAGCAATGTGAGTGCAAGTTTGAGGCTGAGCAACAGGAGGCATAGCACAAGCATGAACTCAGGAATTGTTGCTGAGTAATTTTGAAAAACAAGTGCTCCGATGGAAATTGGAAAAATAGGAGTTCCTGAGATACATTGCTGGACTGGTAACAAGTGACATGGTTGCTATGCTGGACAGCCTGCCCACTGGGTCTAAGAATAACTATGATGCCTTTAAAGAGGCTTTGCATAAGAGGTATAGGTTGGGGCCAGATCATTTCAGGAAGAAGTTCTGCGAAGCTGCCCCACAGCAGGGAAAGTCTATGATCAAGTTTGTGGCCCAATTGTGGGAATCATTCCAAAAATGGGTAGAGGGAGCCAAAGCTGGCACCAGAGAGAAGGTGCTAGACCAATTTGATTTTAGATGCCTGTGGCAGGGAACCCTAACCCTGTCATGAGGAAAAAGGTGTGCCCCTATAAGGCCAGAACCTTCTGGGCGCAGAGGGCTGGTGAGGAAGGGGTTAACTGCTGAACTGGGAGAGGGTCAGCTGACCAGAAGAGGCAGGCCTATAAAAACCCTGGGTTGAATGACAGTAAGGGGGCTAGCAGCCAAGGGGGGAAGGAGTGCATCTCAGAGCTCCTGGGAGAGGCTTGGTGAGAAATCCAAAGCCAGGAAGAGACGAGCTATAGAAGCCCTGAAGAGACAACAGCCGCACTGCAAGGATGAGCTGATGGTGGTGAACTGAAATATGAACCCTGGAACTGTAAGCTGACATACCGCTTTCATTACTCACCTTGTTGGGTGGCAGATATTGCTCATGAACGGGACTGTTTATTTGTGTTCTTTGGGTTATGGAATGAAACTGGAGGTTTGGGTGAGGCTGTTAGGGGATGGAGGAGTCCTCATTTTTGGAACCCACTCCAGAGTGAGATCCCCAGTGCCAGTGAGGGCACAGCTTTTTTGGGGGCACAGACCCTGGTGCCAGTGAGGCACAGAGCTGCGGAGAGCCCTAGTGCCAGTAAGGGCACAATTTTGGGATGATCTTAAAAAGGCCAGGGAGGCCTGGAGCACCTGGGGGGTGCAAGTATATATTTTTATTATTATTTGGACAGGTGAGGTCACATCCAGGTTTTGAACTTGTGACCCCCTCACTGTGGGGCTGGCACATGTGCCTCAGGGCTGGGGAGTGCTGTGCTTCAGAAAGGAGCAGAAAAGGGGGCCAAGAGTGTCCAGGCACTAGAAGGAAGAGCTAGAGTCTCAGAGTCGAACCCTGTTTGGTGGGTTTGGATGGAGAAGCCTAGCTAGAGAAAAAAGGGGTCAGACCATCCTAGGAGAGACCCCAGCATACCCAATATAAATCAGCAGTCTCCCCCTCGCATACTAATTTCCATCAAGATGTGGCAGGTGAGATTAGGGCGGGACAGCAGAGTTCCAAGAGGACTCCAAGGGCATCCCACGTAAGGTGCAGATGACCTGGAAGATGGTGCTGGGGAGGGCGACCTGTTACAATGCCCTCAGGAGATTAAACACCTAGTCAAGGATAAGGAGCCCAAATCAGCCAGTAAGGCTGCTGACTTTGCTGATCAGCTGTTGCTAAACATCAGGAGGGGCTGGACAGAAGGCTTCCCCACTTTGGGAAGGACCAGAAATTATTCCAAAAAGCAGGGAAGGGAGGGCCAGTCCTGAAATGGGAGTTTGCTGCCCCCACCCCCCCCCCCCGAGCCCCGCGACCGGGGG